GGTTGTAACAAAACAGTGGTTCAGCTCTATCTATTGTTAGCTATTGTTATGTTTGTATAGCGCCGGATGTGAAAAGTTTGCACGTGTATGGGGCTTGTGGCTTGTGACGTGTTATGGTAGAGATTAAATTGCAGTTCTTGTTTTCTTGTTGTTATCAGTTATCACCTTATATCATCTCTCACCATTTTGCTTGGAAAGATAATTTCCTGGCCGCTTGATGGAGGTAAAAAAAACCATGTAAATAATACACTTGTGACAGCAAAAAGGTGGTGCGGCCGCTTAATAGAGGTGGCCGTTGAAAAGAGGTATCAAATACAGCAGTTAATTGACAAATAAATCGGGACTTTGGAAAGTGGCCGCACAATGGAGGGTGGCCGCTTAATAGAGGTCGGACTGTATTTATTTCTTATTTGTCTCCATCTCTGCAATATCGAAAAAAAAAAAAAATTAAAAAAGGAAAACTATAAGTTTACGACTTCCTGTCAAAATTTTCAATAAAATTTGGTGTAACGTCATTGTAAACAGATTGTCTGACCCATGGTACACTCCATGAAGAAAAACTTTAAGAATGATAGAAATTGTCTGGGATATGAACTCTTTACATCCTATTATCTAAATCCATATTCTCCAAACTCTTCTCCATACATTTCCTTTGGTGCTGACGGAGAGAATTCGTGTAACGATCATAGGGATCATTGCCTTGATTCTCCACGAACTTTGATGCTCTCGTTCATGCTTTGAATTTTCCGGAAAAAATGTAGTCAGTGATAAGTAATTTTTTTAAGTGCCTATTTATTCCTCAGCATACCGTAGGAGGAAAACTATTCAAGAGGGAATAAAAGCCCACGCCGAAACATCGGCTTTGAAGGGTTCGATTTGGCATATGTGTTTTCGAATATGATATTTTAGGTATAAAAAGCGACTCGTAGGTTGCGACCAAAGGAATCTGCGCTGATTTTTATACTATATTACTTTCTTTCATGTTCTTCATAACAAGATGAGTGAAAGGCTTGGGCGAAATTAGGAACATTCTGTGAATTTAAAATGCTCTTTAAAATGCATCTTTTCGATGATATTATCAACCAGACTTAAATCTAATGTGAATTTAATGTGTAATGTAGCCGATTTTCGTATTAAAGACTGTGCTCTTAAATTTGAGCGCGGATTGCAAGCCCGCGCATAAACAAGAACGAGTACAACATATGTGTTTGAGTTCAAGGAGATAAAATTGAAAATAATTAAACAAAAATAGTCTGGTATAAAGAACTGAATTAGACTCGAAATTATTACTTACGGCTAGGATAAACATCACGAGCATTGATAGAAAATCTCAAATAAACCACAGTCAAAAGTAATACTGCAAAGGACTTCATCTTTCTTACAGCAAATCCACCAACGCGGTGTTCCCGGCAGGAATTGTCTTAAAAAATTGCGTCATGAGCATTTTACATACATTTGAGCCCGGAGAGCATATTATTTGATCTACTATTATTATGTTAGGTTTTGTATTGCATCAGGGTCATGAACTGAGAGCACAGCGGTTTTTTGTTTCTTTCAATGCACTCTGTTAACAGGCAGAACAGTAGAATGACATGAAAATAGCTACTTTCAAACGTACCGATCATTTTCCAAATACTGCCACTGCAGGGACTACGTTTTCCCTGACTTCATGGTATTATTTCTCTGCAAGACATGGCTCGCTAATGTTCCTTTTCACTTTTTGTTTATCAATAATTCGCCAAGTATCCTGGTTGTTTGTTTCAGCGTTTGCCTGTTTGTTGGTTTAGATTGTTTCCCTTTTTAACGAGCCGAGTTTTTCAATTCAACTCATGCCCTATCGAGGGAGTAAAATATTAAGAAACTCGCACGATTTCCCTTGCTGGCGCGCGCCCATCCAAATCACGTCTTGTAACTTGGAACGTCTGTTAGGTACACTACCCCAAGACGCCGACGATTTTTTATTGTATTATCCAGGTTGAACTTCCCCTGGTACAAGTCAGTCCGCAGTGGAGGTTTTGAACTTTACCGTTCCCCTTTGTTGACTACATTGGAAAATCTCACCGCTTTTCGGAAATTTTCCCCATAAAATTCCCCCCAGCAATTGGTCTTGAAAACAACCTTACGGGAACGAAAACAGAACGCGTGTGTCGGAAGCATGGAATAACGATCTTCTTATTCCATACCGAATGGGAATTCATTGTGTTGTGTACAATTATACACGCTCTCTGGTAAAATTGTCAAATACATTACGAGTTGTATTTGACGCCTTGCTCGGGTGGTAACCAATCAGAGAGCAGTTTGTATCATGTTACAGCTCCAGTAATGAGATTGCATAATCAGGAGCTAAGATAATGACAAATCCTTTTCTTGTCATCTAATTAGCCCAGGGTTATCACGTTACCACATATTTTGCTCCCTGATATATAGCTGAAAAGGACCTCGCAGGTAAGCTAACTAGAGGGTTGGACTGAAGAAACCAGGGACCAGTTATTATTTATGACCTATGGGGGTAGGGTTCGAAGGATTTTGGGGATCAAATGATTTTCAGGGAAAACGGTGGGAGGATCAGTCGTTGCTAAAAGATTATAAAGGGGGGGGATTCATAAAAGTGACTGCCAATGGGGATCATTACAATACTCTACAGCCTTAGGTTGGTATCTGTTAAATTTTACTGTGACACAAGAAAAATCCTCGGACACCCACCCCCGTCCCACACCCCACACCTTCCCAGGCGATAAGAAATGATCATTTAAACACCATTCTAATACCATCCAAGTGTGACTGGAAAAATACGACGAGGATTTAGTCAGAAAAAGGTAGAATACAAATAAAAATCCTGCTTTTGTTAAGTTTTACATTTTTAATGAAGTTTCAACATGAATGAACACCACAAAAAGGTCGAAACCCTTATACAACTTTTCATTCGTTCATATGTAGAATAAGCGACCGCATTTTACAGTCTAGCTCTTCTGATCAAGAATAATATTTTCCCATGTCCCTCAAAAATTTGTCATACGCTGTATCTTGCACTTCTGTTCGGGTGTCATCCGCGCTGAGATTTATAGAAAGAGTAAATAAGATAAGATGGGAGTTGAGGATGTTCCGACAGCAACACCAAGCACTAAAATTTCCCAGTCCTCAATCAAGATCCGACCCTCCCCCAGTGAAATAACATTTTTATTGCCCGTCTTTAACTAAATAGGCAATTTAAGCAAACCACGACGGCGACGGCAACGAGAACGTGGAAAAACAATAGATCTAATTGGCAGAACAATAGCCCAGCACGTGCGTTTTAAAACTTTCTACATTTCTTAGCCGTCCTTTGCAAAACATTAAAATTTGCGTCGTCTGCGAACCGAAACCGCGGCAGCAAATATTTTAACTTACATTTGGAATCCAACTCTACTTTTATGCGTTATGTTGAGTTTGAGGTCTGGCGCCCTATGAGACGGTAAACACATGCATCCATTTTCGAAATTCTAACTAAAAGTAGAAACTCATTTTTTAATTGACGTCTTCCGTGGCGTTGCCGTC